TCTTCAAGGCACCTTCCAGCTTTAAATCCTATGATCCTATGAACTGCTGGGCTCTCACGCATGCCAGTATCACCAGAGTGGTTCTGGTTGGGGTCTTCTGCCTCTCTCTGCTTTTCTGGGTGATTTGAGGATCTAAGTGCATGGGAATGAAAGGGCTTGTGGCTGGTCATGGCAAAGGGCAAACACTTGGGTGACCTGGAAGATTGTTAGTGAAGATGGGTAGGAAGCATAGAGACAGACCTCTGCACCAGAGAGAAGCAAACATGTCTTATTTTTTTAGGAAGGAGAGAAGAGGATATGATCTAGGCTCTATCTACTTTCCCCATTCCACATAAAGCAAAAATTTAAAAACCTAGCTCTGTTGCTTCTATCAGGTGAGAACATCTCAATTGAATTAATTAATCAATCAATTAAAGCCCTGTTGTGCCCTTCCATAAAATTGCAAGCCAGTTTGGAAATCAGCATTCAAGCATTTGGTAATTTAGAGGGGAGAGAAGGTCTAGCCAAGCCCAGAGAGGGAATTGCTTTGGGGGAGAGGCAGAACTAAGCCTCTGTCTCTGATCCACCCCCAACCAGGAGACAACCTTGTAGTTTTTGAGAATAAAAGGGTTTGGACTTGTCATCAACATCTTAGCAGTGTCCCAGACACACCGGAGAAAGTCAATTTCAGGACTTTCTAAGGTGCCTAGAAGGAAGCCACCCCTTTCCATAGGGGAGTCTCATGAGGTCCCCATGAATGCGCAAGAAAAGCACTTCCAGCAACCAAAGACTGTGAGTTACCCCATTGCCACATGTGATCTGATCTCTGTCTATAAGTTTCTAGCCCATTTTCATGTTCTTTGCTAATGTCTATCCATCCTCTTCCTCCTTCTTGCTGAAGAAGTATTAGTCTTTTTACAGTTGCTTTAGGTGAAGAGTCCTTTATTTTGTTAACATTGTATGGAGTTTTTGTTTGGCTCCTTTTCAGATCTGTTATGGAGCATTTTACTGTTCTGAAAATATGCTCTGAGGTGGATTTTGCATAGGTGTTAATTGCTTTAAGCATATTCTTCCCATTAAGCTGTGATTTTAGGATGCCAGTAAATGTCTTTACATACATGGATCCTTGATAGATTTATGTTTTACTATGTCTTTCCTGGAAGAAACCAAAGTATTTGTAAAGATCACCTTTGCCCACTGGTACAATTCAACCTTTAAATCCAAGCTCATAGCTTTCATCACCTGTCTTTCCTTGGCATGCATTGAGTTTTACACTTTTTGAGCCCAAAAGACATTCTGATATCATGAGTGAAAAGTTCCATGAGATGGAGATGCTATTTAGAGTGGTGTTTTTTTCTTTCCCCAGTGGAGACGTATAACTTATGTCATCCCTGTACATCAAGCAATTAACATGATGCTTTGGTGGAATACCTCTCCTTAATTTAAAGTCAAACTTAGTTCTTTTCAGGAGTGATGATGGATTTAAGGCAAGGCAGACCTGTAGCAGGCTTTTTCCTGGAAGATGTGTTTTATATCAATTGTTTTTGACAGTATTGTGCTCATGGCATATTTTAAGAAGAGAAGAATTTTCCCTGTGGATATCTAACACTCTAACTTTCTCACTATTCTTGCATATTTTTATTTTTTTAGACCATGGTCCACAATATATTCTAAATTGATGTACAGTCTTAATAGTAAAGATCATACCATAAAATAATGAGAAGAGGGGGAGATCATATATTTTTTCACAGCTAGGAAATGTATTCTTAACCAACCAAGAAATATAAGCAATTGCAAAAGACAAAATAGATAAGCTTGACTATACAAAACTGAAAGCCTTTGCACAAACACAACCAATGCCTGCATATCCTTTATATGTTATTCACAATACATGACAAAGTCATGAGTGCAAAACGACGTCAAAGGTGAAGTGTAAATGTTGCCATGTTTTCAGGTGGCTTGTTCAATAATTACCAAATACTTGTATTCCCTTAACCATTTTACTTTTGCTGTTAGTTATTAATTAAAAATATCAAAATTTCTAATATAATTTATTTTCCAGATTCCATAACATATTTCTTCTTCATTGTCTTTAATCAGGAGATATGGTGCTCAAGTTTTCTACTGCTCATACTAATTGGACATGGATTCTCCACAATTTTCTCAAGCCTCTCTTGCCATGGTAGTGTTTGATGTATGATACTTTTAGGAGGATTCCTAGAGAGCTCTGCCTTACCTCTTATGATCCCTACCATGGCGCAACAGCTGCAACATATACTGTTGTGTGCGAGTCCAGGAATGTTTTTATAATCTCTAATATTGTTGGAGAATATATTCATTCAGGGGCAGCTAGGTGGTGTAGTGGATACAGCACCGGCCCTGAAGTCAGGAGGACCTGAGTTCAAATCCGGCTTCAGACCAAACACTTGACACTTACTAGTTGTGTGACCCTGGGCAAGTCACTTAACCTGAATTGCCAAAAAGAAAAGAAAAAGAAAAAAGAGAATATATTCATTCATGATAGATATATCAGGGATAGGGAATGGACCTGTGATTTCACTGGTACGGAGAACTATCTTGTGATGAAACTCTCTCTGCACTTGTAGGTTGGTACTTTCTCTGCAACTTATAGTTACAGTTACCTGGAACACCAAGAGGTTAAGTGACTTGCCTAGGGCCCCACAGCCAGTATGTATAGAAGGCAAACTTAAACCCAGGTTTTCCTGGCTTTAAAGTTGGTTCCTTATCCCCTAGGCTACACTACCTCTCAGAGCACATAAAATTATTTTAAAATTATAAAAATTGTTCTGTTTGGGGATATTTGGTCTAATAGTTGTGTTTGTTCCATCAAAATCAAAAAGGGCTTTAAAAATTCCTTTCCAAGTCTGCCTATCTCTTTTTCAAAATCACTGGAAATGTTCGCATTAGTATTGCCATCTGTTTCATCATAAAGTGGAACTTCTGGAGTTTCAGGTATAGATGAGAATATTTTTAAGTCCTCCAGTTTCCACCTTTTCAGACTTAAGTCGTTGCTCAATTTCTACTATTTCCTCTCATCTGGACTTAGGAATGAAGTTATTTCTTACGATTGCCCTACATCAACTCCAACATGTTGTTATCGTGACTAGGAGGGAGGTTATCATTGAGAAAAAACCATCCTCAGGTCCTCGCCTGTAATTGGCGAGATCTCCTTTGAGTTTGGTTATTTTGTAGCTCTGGTGTATAACTAAAGCATCTATGTCTTCGATCCATTTCATGCCTCTCATGGTTGGTCCACATTAGTGGTCTGCTTATCCTCACCAAAGCATTTTCAGGAGGTGGGATGGTGGCGTTTCTGATTGTTTCAAGGTATCTCGGCTTGGGCAGCTGGGTGTGCAGTGCACAGAGCACTGGGCCTGGAGTTCTGATCCAGCCTCAGACTTTTACTACCTGTGTGACCCTAGGCGAGTCACTTAACTTTGTTTTCCTCCATTTCCTTATCTGTAAAATGAACTGGAAGGGGCAGCTAGGTGGCTCAGTGAATAGAGCACCGGCCCTGGAGTCAGGAGGACCTGAGTTCAAATCCGGCCTCAGACACTTAACACTTACTAGCTGTGTGACCTTAGGCAAGTCACTTAACCCCATTGCCTAGCCAAAAAAAAGAACTGGAGAAGTAAATGGCAAACCATTCCAGTATCTTGGCCAAGAAAACCCCAAATGGGGTCACGAAATGACGTAACAACACATTGGGACAGAGGAGAATCCCTTGCTTCACTGTTCTCCATATCAAGCTGAATAGCCTAAGGATTCTGAGCAAGGCTAACCTGAAACCTGATGCCACCAGGTTTATTTCTTAGATTCAGGGCAGTAGTCACACTAGATGGGGTTGCACCTAATTCGTGGAATGGCCAGAGCCCAGCTGGCTGATGTTTCAGGGTTCCTACCAAACGTTCTCAACTCCCACAGCGGTCTCAAGACACACAATGTTTCTGCAGAAAATCAGCCCAGCTAGCATCCCTTACTTTCTAACTGCATCCAAACCTCCCCCTTCTCATGTCATATACCATTCATTAAGCTTTTAAGGGGCTATTATTAATAATTATTATCCCCAATTGATGGAGGAGGAAACTGGAATTATAATTATTTAGTTTGCAATGTATCACAGGTGTGAATTGGGGCCTAGAAGGTGGTGAGAGTGTTGGCCATGGGCCCGGGCTGACCTATTTATTCAAGGGGGCCACGAAAACACTTGATTCTCTCTACCTCCAAAATACCAGCCCAGAAGAGAGACTTACCTGGTCCACTTAAGAAAGGGTTATCAATCCCTACCTCTCTTAGAGCCTGATCCCATATTAAAAGTGCTAGGCTTGGCATCAGGAAGACCTGAATTCAAATCCAGCCTCAGAGATTTATCAACTAAGTCACTTAACTAATGTCTGCCTCAGTTTCTTCAACCATAAAAAGGGAACATAATCTCCAAGGTTGCTGTGAGGATTAAATGGTGTATTGGTAGAACACTATGTGCCTGGCACGTAGTAGGTACTTAATAAATGCTTGTTTTCTTCCTTCCTTCTTCCAAAGAAGATTAGTGACGGGGCAGCTAGGTGGCACAGTAGATAGAGCACTGGCCCTGGAGTCAGGAGGACCTGAGTTCAAATCCGGCCTCAGACACATAACACTTACTAGCTGTGTGACCCTGGGCAAGTCACTTAACCCCAATTGTCTCACCCAAAACAAAACAAACAAACAAAAAACCCAAAGAAGTTGAGTGTTTCAGGCCTTTCATTATCCACTTGGTATTGCTGCTACCATCTCCAAGAATGCAGGATGACAAGCTGATAAATTCTGCCTAAACTCTTAGATCCCATGATTTTGCTCCTTCAGGGACAGTCAGTGACTAGGGGGTTTAGGCCAAGTATAAAAACAGGAGCCATGGAGATAAAACACCAAAAATTTATTCAGGGAATTAAATGGAAAAAATACCCTTGTAGAACAATCTATCGTAATTTTGTTTTGTTTCTCAAAAACTCGAGGAAATACAGTTAGGCGACCATAATATATACTTTATATTCCATAGTTGGGGGTTACAGGGTCTGAAAATGTCATTCTGTGCTTCAGTACAATTGAAAATAAATAGATTTGTTGCTCATTCTTCCTCAAGGCAGTTAAATAGACTCATGCAAACCCAATGTGCCCCTGCTTGCTGGCGCTCCTGAGGTTGGCCCCTTGCTCGGCATTCTGGGAACAGCCCAAACCTAGAACCTCCTACCCCCAGGCTTGGCAAAGGGCATCCAGACTGTGGAAAACTCCCTCCAGTCCCTCTGGGACACCTGGGACCCGCATCCCCACTTCATCAAACTTGGTCTGGGATGCCCTCCAGGACCCAAAGGTTCAAGAGAGAATATCTTAACCAAGGGAGGAGTGAGGCCAAATTTTCCTCCCTGCTGTGCCCGTGATCCTGGGGAGCAGATAAAAACATTTACTTCTCTAGGCATCTATAGGGGATGGTTTGTACAACATTGAAATTAGCATGAGAAAGGAAGAAAGTCAGGGTTGTTTCTTTAGCGGAAACATAGCAGCGTGGGGTATGTGGGTGGGGGGAAGTGTGGTGGTGCTCTCTGTGAAGAAAGATTGGAGAGCCCCAGCCTGGCTGAGTCTGGCTCTGGGGAGGACCTCTAGCCTCCCCACCCCCAGGCCCAGATCGGTGTCTGGGCCTGAGATGTTGGCTTATCATAGTTACAAGGACTGCTGGGGTTTGGCTCCATACAGACACAAGACAGGACAATGGGCCAAATGAACAGCCAGGCTCTGGAGTGGGGAGTAGGCAGCAGGGATGGTGGGGGGTTAAGGCAACATGCGTGCACGCCCTGGTGGAGAGGGAAGTTGGGGGCAGCCATGGGCTGGGGGCTGGGGGCTGGGAGTGAGGGAACAGCCATTGGCAAGCAGGGCCTCCTGGCTTTCAGGCTGGTGGGCCCTCAGTGCAATCCCTGCTCAGGATCAACCCCTTCCCCAACCCCCAACCCCATGCAACCTGAAACCTCTTACATTACATGAAGCCGAAAACCTAGCATAAAGGAAAGGATATTTAAAGTGCTGTGGTTTGATATATGCGGTGAGTGAGGGGAGACGGCGCACCCCTTACCCAGGCGCACCCATGGTGGCGGGAGCTGTGGATTCAGTGACCCCCACTGATGGAGGGAATTGGGGAAACTCTCAGGCTGTCTCTTCTGAGCACCGTGGCATCTACGGACAAACGCCATTTGGGGAAGCTGAGCTGGGAACCAGGCAGGCAGGAGGGAGGGCACAGCTTCCTAATGGCCACCTTTCTGCTTGGCTCCTGCATTGTTTCCAAGTCAGGCATTTCTTCCAAGTCAGAACTGGGTCAGGTCTGTTCCAGAGGAAGGACTCAGGCCCTGGGGTTATCCACAACTACTACAAACAGCTCCTTGGCATCATTCCCAAGGGGTGATTCACAAACCTTCCCTCTCACATTTCTCCCCCATCTTCCACCCCATCCCACTCCCTAGTGCTTCTGACAACCCTGGAGAAAGGGGCTCCTCAAGACACAGGAGGAGTCCCTTGGGGCTCTGATTCGAATCAGGATGATGCAGACTTCTGGTGGGGGGCACTGTGCCTGTCTTGGCTTCTCCTCCAGGGGCTTGATTACTCCAGGCGGGAGGTTTGGTCCCATTCTAACAGTAGGGCAGGTACCTCAGGCGCCACCCCACCCTCTGCTGGGGATATGGACTTCTTTGCCAAGAGGTGCAGACTAATACTTAGCTTTCCTTAGCGTGGAGGGGCTCAAGGAAGGAAACACATTGCCATCACAGCATGAGCTAGGGCCACATTTACCCGTCACCTGCCAATATTGCCACCCCCCACCTCACCCCCTCCACACAGGGCCTAGAGAGAGGCAGCTGCCCCCTGCATCTTTATTCTTTCTCCCTGGCCCCCCAAAGTCCTCAGGGGGCCTCATCCTGAGTGAGTCCTGTGAAAGGAGCTTGGCCATCTGGACGAGGGGCACCGACGGTCTCTCCCTACTTGGCATCTCGCTCTGGCCAAGAGAGGCTCGGGAAAAGGGTAGATGCGGCTGAGTGCAAGCGGCATACGGCAGCCAGCTGGGGCACCCCGACAGGGGGGCAGTAGCCAGAGGCCGTGGGGCTCCATGGGGGGCGGAGGGCCGAGCTTGCGCAGTGGTACCGGCAAAGGTGGAGGCTGGTCCTGGGGTTCAGCCGCCCGCTGTTCCCGCATCCTCGGCTGCAGGCTCCGATTCGCCCCCTGGGGGGAGGCCGCAGCAGGAAGAGAAACGGAGACAGAAACGGAGGAGAGGCAAGTCAGGCAAGGGACCACGCCATCAGGCGGCCAGCCACCACCGCTCAAAGGCAGCAGGGAAGGCCCTGGACTGGGAGTCAAAGACCGGGCTTCGAATGCCCGCTGGCACAGCCATTGCCACCTGGGACAAGTCACTTGATTTCCTAGGGTCTTAGATCTTTTAGGCTTTCTTTAAAATGAAAGCATCGGACTAGATAATCTCTAAGGCCCCTCCCAGCCCTGACATCCCCTGTTCTGAGGCCCCTCCCAGCTCTGACATCCTCTGTTCTGAGCCTCCCCTTCCAGCCCTGACATCCCCTGTTCTATGGGCCCTCCCAGCCCTGACATCCCCTGTTCTATGGGCCCTCCCAGCTCTGACATCCCCTGTTCTGAGCCTCCCCTTCCAGCCCTGACATTCCCTGTTCTAAGTTAAGGGTTCTAAGTCTGGGTCCATGCACTCCCATGGATATGGATAGATTTCAGGGGGTGAACTTAGATAAGAAAAAAATTTACATCTTCACTTTCATTAATCTCTAACTGAAATTTAGTGTTTCCTTCAATTATGAATGTAGGCATGGCTAATATGGAAACAGGTTTTGCACGATCTCACATATATAACTGAAAACAAATTGCCTTCTCAAGGAGGGTGGAGGAAGAAGGGAGGGAGAAAACTTGGAATTCAATTTTTAAAAAAAATAATTATTAAAAAATTTTACATGTAATTGGGAAATATTTAACAAAATTCATAGGCTTTAGCTGACTGACAAAGGGGTCCATGATACAAAAAAAGCTAAGAACCCTGTTCTAGGGTTTTTCCATGCTCTGGTATTCTTTCTAGTCTAAGACCCACCTGCTCACCTCCAGCTCTGACATCTTCTGTTCTAAGGTCCTTTCCACTTCTCATGGTCTAAGATCTAAGGTCCTTCCAGCTCTGACACCTTCTGTTCTAAAATTCCTTCTAGCCCTGACATCCTATGTTCTCAGGTTCCTCTGTTCTATGTTCTAAGGTCCCTCCAGTGATAACATTTTGTCCTAATATATCTAGACCCCAATGTAGTATAAGCTATGATTGCACAGCCTGTCTGTGCAATCCCTCATCATAGGCTCGGCCATCAGAAAGCAGGCTGGACCACCCTCACAGAACGCTTGAACCTGGCAGGAAAGGACATCTCTTAACTCATTCACCAATAAGGTCCTGGTTCGGGCCACCATTACTGTAAGACATCTGTGTAGCAACTCTGCCCTCCATGCTTCGACGTCTCATTGTTGAGAAAAATGATTCCAACCACCTTCTAATCCTGACTTTGCTGGGGAATCCCTTCCCCTCTCAGACCCTCACTTCCCCTCCTCTATCACAGCAGATGCTGCCTAGGGTTCCTTCCAGCCCTAACCTGGGGTCTTCTCTTGGAGCCCCGTGACCTCCTCCATGAAGCTAACAGAGGAGACCACATCCCCAGGATGTGGGAGAATTGTAAGCCCTAGGGAGAATCTTCAGTCAGGGCCAGGAGTCTCCATTTCCTTGGCGACCTCCCCACCTCCACCTTTCCTCTTCTGAATCTCCTAGAGCCTCTAGCTAATCCTGTCCATGGGGTCACTCATCTCTCTGCCCTGGCTCTTCCCAAGGACCAAATGCCAGCGGGGTGGGGACCACCAACCCGCCAAACCCAACTGGCAATGATCAATGGTCTTTGGAGGTCAGTGATCTCTGGTGTATGGAGGACTACTGGGAGAACAGGGGACTCTCTCTACATCCTCATCCACATCCTCCTCTGTCTGTCTGTCTATCTCTCTCTGTCTCTCTCTCTCTCTGTCTCTCTGTCTCTCTCTCTCTCACACACACACACACACACACACACACACACACACACACACACCCCTTCAGGCCTCCCTTTAGTCCTGCCCCTCCCTCATACTATGAGGCCCTCCCACAGCCTTACTTTGTTACTGGTGCCTCCATTCAGACCTCCCTCCCCAGCAGCATTCCCATAGGGTTGAAGCGGCCAATGGAGCACAAAGAACGTTTCTGCATCGGAAGCCAGAGGATCTGAGTTCAATTCTAGCTCTGCTGCTTACTAGGTCTGTGACCTTGGGCAAATCACTTCTCTGGGCCTCACTTTCCCCACTTGTATAAAGAGGGGTACAAAACCTCTGCTCCACTCTGACCACAAATCTGTGACCTATGATCTGAACATGTTTTGCAAATGTTTCCACCTGCCTCCCCCACTGCCTCCAGGCAGCTTTCCCTCAGGGATCACCCAGTATTCAAGAAGTCCTGAAAAAAAGTCAGGTCTGTCTTGGCAGAGTGTGGCATAGGTCCAAGTACCTCTGTGACTGGGAGACCCAGCCATGAAATCATTTCTTTCTTAAACGTTATGGGCTAGAAGAAGACCAAGAGATCAGCTGAGCAGCTCAAGAATAAGAGAATCTAAGAATTAACAGGGATCGCAGTGACCATGTGGTCCAATCCCCTCATTTTATAGATAGGGAAACTGAGGCTCACTGAGGGGGAGGGATCTGGCCAAAGTCACATGGTCTACCAGTAGCAGGTCTCCTGGCTCCAAAGTCAGGGCTCCTGCCACTACCTCCCCCCTGCCACCTCTGAGCTTTGGGCTCTGGACGGACCATTCCTGGGATCCCAGCACTCCTCCTGAGCCCAGCAAGGCAGGAGAGCTGAGGCTCTGGTTTGCAGGTGCCCAGGCTGGAGAGCTCTTAGGCTCTATCCACAGCTGACTGCCTGGCCCTGGGAATCCTGCAGGCTTCTCTTCAACCTCTCCAGATGCCAGGTCCACTCTGACTTGGACCTGGCAGTCGCCAGGGGGCAGAGCCTCCAGGGGCCAGAGAGAGGTCAGCCAAAGACTCAGTAACTCCGAGGCAAGGAGGCCACAGGGACCCTCAGGCTTCCCAGTGAGATGCCCTTCTAGCATCCACAGACCCCATGAGAACAGAGCACATTCCTGGCTGCCTGGAGCCCCGGAGTGACTTTAGACAACTCTGCTGATATCCATTTCAGCAGTGGCCCTCTGGACTCGTAGCTACATACTAGCTGTGGGGCCTTGGACCCAGCCCTCTCTAGACCTCAGTTTCTTCATTTGTAAGAAGAAAGAAGGGTTTTAAAGGATTATAAGATTGAGCATTTGAAGAGACTTCCAAGATAATCTAATTCAAACCCTCATTTGACAGAAGAGGAAACTGAGGCCCAGAGAGGGGAAATATACAAAAAAATAGCCAAATGTCTATAGGGTTAGATTAGCTGGTCTCAAAGGTCTGGCCCTTCAAGTTCTGACAACTGGGCTTCCTTGGCATCTACAACATACTGGACTGAGGCCTATCCGAGGGACTCTAAAACACTTCTATTCCATGGGTGGGCAAAGGGGCAGTCTAGAGACTTGGCTGCCATCTTGGATAGAGATGATTTTCCCTATTATCAGTCACCATTATAGAAACACAACTGGATGGTGTTTCACACAATGGACAACTGGGGTCTGAGAGAGAGAGAGAGAGAGGGGGAAGGAGAGAGGTAGAGAGGGAGGGAGGGAGGGGAAGAGAGAGCGAGCGAGCGAGCGAGCGAGAGAGAGAGAGAGGAAAGGAAAACTTGTGAAGCTAAATATAATGAAGAACAAGGCTGGGGAAAAAGCAACTCATTAATAGTGCCTGGAAGTTGGGGTGTTTCATGTGCCAAGCCCAGGGGGATTCACTGGATCATCTGGGTGCCTGCTTGGTTCATGGCCAAGAGTTCTAGATACTGCAACTTTAGATCCTTTGGTTAGGTAAAAGAGGACGTTGGTCTGCCAGTCTCGATGGGGGCACCCCAAAGGTTCACTCAGACAATGGATTAGATGTGGTTTCTCTCTCTATTTTTTAATAAAATTATATAAAACAAAAAAAAAATAAAAATAAAGTAACCCACACAGAAGCAAATGATGAAAATGCGCTTCTCATTGGGGTAAATCTGAGCACCTCCTTGACCCAAACTCCTGATGGTCTTTAATGGCAGAAAGTGGGCCCTGGGGTTATCATTTCTGATGGGGACCTAGAGAGGTCAGGGTGGAGAAAAGGGGGTGAACCCACCCTACTTTATCCACACAGATCTATGATTCCCAAAGTTAATTAACTTATGGTTTCCATTTACATCAACCCACCCAGGAATAGAAACACGGAGAATTAAGGCTTCAAGTAACAACATGTCCCCACAGCCATAAGCACAGTTGTCCCCCCACCACATTGTACAGTTAATACAAGGTATGGACAAATGACGGATTCTAGAAGACCAGAGAACAGAGACAACAGAATCATTTGCTTGGTGGGGGGGACTGGTGGGGAACCCACGCACAGAGGAATTGGAGACCCAAACTATTGCTACTCATCCTGGAAAAATCCACACACGCCCCTCTTGTCACACATGGCACAGAAGGATTCGGCAAATACAGAGGGCAACATTATCTCCCCCCTCTCAAAGCTGAGAAATGGACACATTTGGAAGTCTTGGGGGGAGAAAGAGAGAGGAAGGGGGAGGGAAGGAAGGAGGGAAAGCTTGTGAAGCTAAATACAATAATGACCAAGGCTGGGGAAAAGGCAACTCGTTAATAGCGACAGGAAGTTGGGGGTGTTTCATGTGCTAAACCAGGAGGATTCACCGGAGCATCTGGGTGCCTGCCAATGGTTCGTGGCCAAGGGTTCTAGATACTGCAATTTTGTTGGCATCAGGCATGTGTCCACCAAGGCTATCAGCTCCAGGAAGATTGAGACTGGCATCTTCATGCCAGTCAGACCACAGAGAATTCTAGGGACCTCGTGGGCATGACCCCAGTGGGATTTCATTCAAGTCGAACCAGCCTGCACTCTTCAGACCACCATTTACCACAGAGCCAAGAGTGGAAGACACATGGTAGTATCCTTGGCATCCTTAGCTCTTCACATCTCACTGTCAAGACAAGGGGACAGGGTCCTTAGGAAAGTATAGGAGCAGT